ATAAAATCAATAGGAAAAGTACAATAAGCTCAGAATAAGCCAGAAAAGTTGATTGTGAAACTCATGAACAAGATAATTTCCTATTTCTTGTTGCTTTTACCTCCAGCATCGGCACCCCCTGCAGCCTGTGCTGCCTTCTTTGCAGCCTTTTCTTGAAGTGCCTTTCCATCCCTATATAACCAGACACATAAAAGGCATATAATCAAAGGTGAATCACAATCAAAGTATAACAAAATCAGACCCTATTTATGTACACTACCTACCTAAAATTCTATATTTATAAGGGTTTTAATAAATGATTATAAAGAAGTAAAGAACCAAATTATAACACAGATTACATCATGAAAAACATGTAGTTAGAAAGTAAGACCACAATTTACATTTCATACATATAGTTCGAAGATTTGAAAACATGTAAGATTTGTACCTGCAATTCTTGTGATTCCATTGTAAAGCTACTTCTTTCATTGGGGAAAAAAATTTACCCCGGAAAATTTGGGGAAGAAAAAGATATCTGAAATTTAATGTATTAACTTCAAAGAAAATTCAGGTATACAGATTAGATCTAATATCTAAAATAGAATCTTGGTAAAGAACACTAATAATAAAGTCAAAATCTTGGTAGATCTTGGAAGGGGGAAAAGTAAAATTAGAAATCAGATCCTAATTTGAAATAGAACTTCAAATTTGAGCAAAATCAACAAAAATTACTACCACTTAGACAGGATATATGAACTATATCTATTGAGAATACAAGGAAAAAAAGGGAGACATTACAATACAGAAAGCATGGTAAAAATTTAAAAGAAAGAAAGGGAATTTACCTTTCGCGGCGCTGCTCCGGGGTCAAACCATCATCTTTATTCTTGGCTTTGCCACCGTTCCGAGACTGAGCCCTTTCTCTATCCTTTTCCCTTTGGTTTCCACGTTAGACCCAGTTAAGGAAAACGGGAACATAACACTAAATACATTGAATTCAACATGAAAAACAAAATTCAGATGAAAAATTCAAGGAGACAAGTAACAAACGCTGTTCATTTGTGTGAACAAACATCAATTTACTGTAAAAATGAAGAATTGAAAACATACAGATTCACAAAATATATAATATAATACCAATTACGTTAAAAAAAAGCGCTGAAAAAGAATTTAATCCGACTGAAAAAGAAAAGAATTGCGGCAGGAAGGATATGAGTCATGGTGATGAGGAGAGGATTTCTTGAAGAGAAAATTCAGAGAGAGAGAGAGAGAGAGAGAGAGACTGCAATTTGAGGGCAATATTACCCTATGTCTTGTCTATATAATTCAACAATTTATGACAGGGGTTGACTTTTGATATAAGGATTTAATATCCACCGTTGATCTGAAAAATGCTAGGCAAAAGTCCCCAAGTTAGGCGATTGAGGTCCGTTTGATTACAAGGAACGAAAATAAGTGGAAAAAAATCAATTTCAGAAAATATAATTATCTAAAACTTATTTTTCAGAAAATTGTTAATTAATTGTGTTTGATTAGTATAATTATCTATCCAAAAAATTTTAAATTTTGGATTTTTTTTGTGTTGGTTTGGCCTTGTTTTACATGAAAATTATTCATTAAAATGATAATTTTTTTGACAACTGGTTATAAAATTTGTTTCAATTGTGAAAAAGTCAAAAAAAAAATCTCAAGAAAACCATTTTTTCATCCAAATTTAGTGTTCATTTGACTTTGTTTTACATGGAAATTGTCCATTAAAGTGAATTTTTTTTTACCATTGGTTATGACATTTGTTTCCATTGCAATTAAAAAAAAAAAAATATTCAAGCCAGCGGGGAAAATTTNAAATGATTTTTTTTTATATAATTGGTTATAAAATTTGTTCCAATTACAAAAAAAAAAAAAAAATTACACTGGAATTCCATTTTCCCACTAAAATGGTGGGAAAAACAATTCTTCCAAAATCAAGAGAAGGTGCACGTGGGGGGTTGGGTAAGAAAATCAATTGCCAAGAACTTTTTGCCCATCAAACGTGCTTTTTGGATGGATTTACCATGGAAAACTTGTGGTATCAAACAGTGCCTTAGATAGACTAGGGTCCGGATTAAAAATCTGATTTTAATTTAAGTCAGAGTAAAATAATTAATATTAATCACATCTTTTTAATAACAAATTTCAAAAATTTCTATCACAAACCACTAAAAATCTAATTTTAATTTCCACCGAACTCCCTCTAATACAATTTGTATATCAATTATTTACATATTGATGTTCAATTTGTACGTCAATTTGTACATAATAATTTATAAGTACCATTACATAGAGGTGGGCAAAATCCAATCGATTCCGTCGAAATCGCCCAAACAGAACCGACCCGATCGAGTTTGGTAGATTTTTTTTTTTAGATTTTGCATGGATTTGGTGAGTTGGCTGTCTAGGCGGGTTGGGTCGAGTTTGGTTATGGGTTAACTCATAAAAATCGAATAAACCCGTCCAACCCAATCCGTCACTTTAAAAAAAGTAAAAATAAAATAAAATAAATAAAATGCCTAGAAAAGCTAAAAAAAAAGTTAAATACACTTTGTTCTTTGTAAGCTCGAGGATTAAATAAGATAATAGATAATTTTATTTATTTATTTACTTACTTACTATTTAATCTTGTCTATTTACTTACTTTAATTTTTAACCTACCAACTCAACCCAACCCGACGATACTTAATTGGGTTGGGTTTCAACCTTTACACGGGTTGTGTTGAATTAAATTTTGATCATATCGATCATGTTGAATTGGATTTGGATTGAGGCAAAAATCGACCAAACCCAACCCTACCATTACTCCACAAGTTTTATTAGCCAAAAGGCCCAAGGCTATCTGATTCCATCCCACTCCGTTGCCATCTGATATTTATATTTGATTTCGTCTGAATTGTCTCATTGGAGAGGCGTTTTAGCTTCAAATTCTAGCTCAAACAAAAGTAGGAGTACCTCACGTTTATATGTCTTGAGTGATTCATTAATTCGGATTGATCATACACATAACATGTTAAACTATTCGTGAGGATGGAACCCTTAACAGTTCAAATGCAACTATACAATTATTGAAGGACAATGCTACATAGCCAGGGTTAAATCCAGGCTTAAAAACAGAATACTCACAAAGACTTTTAATAATATAAAATTGTATCTAGTTAAAGTACTATTTTGCCCTTAATGAAATATTTTGTAAGATAAGTCCTATATCTTTTAGTTACTTAGATAATTGGGAATTATTATCTTATACGATTTACTTTGTTCTTTGTAAACTCGACTAATGAGGATTAAATACGATAATAGATAATTTTATTTATTTATTTATTTACTTACTTACTATTTAATCTTGTCTATTTACTTACTTTAATTTTTAACATACCAACTCAACCCAACCCGACGATACTTAATTGGGTTGGGTTTCAACCTTTACACGGATTGTGTTGAATTAAATTTTGATCAAATCAATCATGTTGAATTGGGTTTGGATTGAAGCAAAAATGGACCAAACCCGCCCCTACCATTACTCCACAAGTTTTATTAGCCAAAAGGCCCAAGGCTATCTGATTCCATCCCACTCCGTTGCCATCTGATATTTATATTTGATTTCGTTTGAATTGTCTCATTGGAGAGGCGTTTTAGCTTCAAATTCTAGCTCAAACAAAAGTAGGAGTAACTCACATTTATATGTCTTGAGTGATTCATTAATTCGGATTGATCATACACATAACATGTTAAACAATTCGTGAGGATGGAACCCTCAACAGTTCAAATGCAACCATACTAAGCATCATATAGCTCATGTTTGATCGTCATTTTTTGCTCAAAGGATTCTTTTTTTGTTTTTTTTTTTTACCGTTGAAATGGTAGGAATTTTGCTTATCTGTTTTTCTCTCTGTATATGAATAGTTCTGGATAAGTAGTTTTTTCCATTATTGAAACGCACTCTACAACTGAAGTGATGACCCATCAATGCTGACTTCCCACTAAGGCCTTGCACATCAAAGCATCATATAGCGCATGTTTGATCGTCATTTTTTGCTCAAAGTATTCTTTTTTTTTTTTTTACCGTTGAAATGGGCCCGCATAACCAACTGTTGAAATTTTTATTATAATGGGGTAAGAATACTTCCTAGACATGGGCATAAATGTGTCGATTCAAATTGTCGCATCAACTTTTCACTTGAAATTAATAATTTAATTTTATGAGTATAAAATTTGAATGTATATGATGTTACAAAGTTCTAATTGCTAGTCCAATTTGTGAAATTCAAACTTAATTTTATTTTAACAAGTAATCTTAAATTTAATACGTTAGGCAAGTGAAAGTCTCATTGCAACTTGGACCACTTGGCCAATTGTCCAATTTCAACTTAAAAATTCTAGAAAAGATTTGCTTAGGAATTTTGCCATAAGAAAAAACAAAAAAAGTAACATTTCAAGAAAAGTCCAACATGTTTGGCTAAAAATATTTAAGCAAGTTTGCGCTTGTAAAATCAATTTCTAAAAATGCTAGTAGTAAACTTTTTGAAAAGTCCAAACACCCTTCTAACCCAGTGAAACACCTCTACAAATTATTCAAATAAGTTCAAAAATAGCTCCTTAATCTTAACAATAGCTTTCGATTTTTCAAAAATCACACTTGACGAACCCTTGATTAGTGTAAGTCCAATTCACCGTTTGGACCGTATCGAGGCTACTAATTTTGGAGGCCATCCCCCTTCCCAAATAGAATCTTATAAAGTTGAAAGGCCAAATATGATGTCAACAAAAATAAAAATTCCACCACTAAAAATTTCTTTGCCATGCAATCACATATTAGAATAAATGATTAAACACTAACTCCTCAATTACTTCATTCAAACCTTAAAGAGAAAGCACAACAAAGAAAGAAAAATAAAACAAAGCTATAATACAAAGAATATTTTGATTCTCACTTTCTAGACTGTACAGAGAATCACTTCCCTCCCACCCTCTCCGTCCAGTTACCAGAAATGGCAGCACCACTGTCTACGGTGGTGGAAGCCACCTGGTATTCTTTCTGTGCACCACCAGTATCACCAACAGGCCACCCTTTTTGGTGGTGGAAGCCACCTGGTGTGTGGTGAGGAGTGACGCCAGTGATCAGGCTATGCTAGCAGGTTTAAACTTTGCCTGTGCAGCTGGGGCAGATTGTGCACCCATTCAGACTTCCGGGCTATGCTATTTGCCCAACACAATTCAAGCCCATGCTTCATATGCAGAAAACAGTTACAACCAGCGCAGGGGCAATGACCCTGCCTCCTGTTACTTTTCTGGCACAGACACCATAGCCAAAACTGACCCCAGTATGTACCACCTCTCTCTCTCTCAGCCCCCCCTCCTTTTTTTCCTTATTTTGTGTAAGGTTGTTGGAGATATGAACGAGTGTACGTTTGCATGTTCCAACTAGGTCAACATCTCTTTAACACCCTCATCATCTACCTATTCCACACTTTTTATTAATACCAAAAAAAAAAAGAGTACATCGAAGTAGAAGTGGAATAAAAATTCAACAAAAACTAAAATTTGGCTTGCTATACATCATCTCCTTCTCTATCTACACTACACACGTTTACGTGTATCCTGCCTAACTTAAGTTGCAACTCCACTTCACTCAAGGCAGGATCCCGCTTTGCGAAATCTTGAGTGTAACTACATGTATTTTGCTTTTTCCTTTTGTGATTATGATATGGGATTTTTGTATTCGAGCTATGGATGCAGTGTTTATCCCTCATCTCCAAGGTATGTTCTTGAATCTTGTTTATTCTAGTATTTATTTATCATACAATAGTGGTTTCTTTTCTTATGCTTTACTACTTTCCTAAAGTTGCTTTTCTTCCCAACTAGAAAAATGGAGAATGTGCTTTTGACTTTAATTATAACTTATTTTCTCCAAGGTATGTTCTTGAAAATCTCAAGTTACAGGTCGTTTTACTTGAATTTGTGTTTGATAAGGGACATTGCTCTGATCAAGGTAAAAAAAAAAAAAATTATTTTATTTGAAAATTTCTCTTCGCAGCCTTTATGACTTGAGCAATTAAGCTTGCAAGGGTCTTTAAAACCTGGTGTCCTATGGTCATCTGATTTGGGAGTCATCGGCCGAAAGTTTGTTACATGAGTCACTTAGAAAGTTTAAGGGAGAAAATTATTCAAATAAAGAAAAAAAAGCATTGAAAAAAAAATTTTGATTGAGAAAAAAACAAAAAAAATAGAAAAATCAGGTGCATGAAACAGAAGACGCACCAAATGCCCTGATTATGTCTCAAACACTTATTTAAGGAAATTTAACTTTTTGATAAGAGATTATTAGCATAATTAAATCCTAGAGATTGCAACAATCAAATTATGGAGAATCCTTATTTATTGATATATTGACTTACAATTAGTGAGATTTACCTAAACTAGAGAGGTGAGGATAGTAGAAAATTCAACATTAGGTCACACCCTTGGAAAGAGCGAAAATAATAAGTTTGGGAGTGTGTGAATCTTACGAGTGATGAAAGAACATATTTGACCATTGGGGGTCGAAAATTGAAACAACTCATGAATTCATGATTTTATGCTTAATTCTTCATACACACACACACACGTCGATTTTACATTGAAAAAGTAGATTTTAATTTTTGTATTGTGAATTTGAGCTGTACATGGATTTGATATTATGATTTCAATCTTGAGATAAAAAACCAGGGTAACTAGCTATATCATTTTGCATTGCTTGATTGTCTGACCACCAATCAGATAATTAGCATTGCATGTTTGTGTGTTTTGTGTGGTTTTAGTTTTATTTGAGGACAAACAAAAATTCAAGTTTAGGGGTTTGATAAGTGCATTTTCTACACTTATTCGGGGTTTGAAATTCTAGAATTTTATTATCTTTTTGGAAAAATACGACATAAATTATGTTATATTGTATTGTGTAGGTAAAACTTTATGTTTGATGAAAAATTAGAGAAAAGAAGCAAAATATGGTGGAAAATGGTAAAATCCAAAGTTCGAGGATCAAATTGCAAATACTCAAGAAGATACTTTGAAGATTGTTAGGAGACAATTGGATGAAATTAGAATTCAAAAAGGAATGGAACATGATCAAAGTATTATCAAAATCAATTTTTAATCGCTCAAGATATATTTCAGATTTTTAGCCGAACATTGAGACCCATTTTTGGCATAGTAAACGTTCGAATTGGAAAAACTCTATTTCAATCAAAGTTGTAGCCCTTTAAGTTATATTTCCAACGCACTTTGAATCGCATCAATCGGATATCAAAAGAGAAAGTTATGACTAAAATACGAACTGCTGTGTAGAGACAAAAAATCCGCGCGCGAAGACAACTTTCCTTATTCGATTAGAACTCTTTTGGAAACCAATTTGAACGTGATTTTCAACCAATTTTCGACTCCTATAAAGAGAGAACAGCAGAATACATATGGAGAACCTCCCTAGACCTAAAAATCTCTATATTATACATATTTTGGAGGCGAAGAACGTGACTAACAACGTGGAATCAAGACGGATTGCATATGATGCACCATTATGACAATTAGTTGCTTATTCGTAGTGTTGGAAAACTCACGATAGATAAAACACTGTTTATGAAACACACAGACAATAAATATTAGGAATAATATTTATGGCGTGTGTGGTCATGTGTGATAATTCTAAACGTCAATGCTTGCTTGTCATATGAATTTGGACTAGGAATAGGATCGTCTCGTGGCAATCATAGATTTATTATATCTTGAGAAAGAATAGTAAATGAAAGTAGAATTATCGATCGTCGTAATTGCATGAATCGAATTAATTATCACTGGTTGAGATTTGAAATTAAGAATTGATTAGTGAAATCGAAAATCCAATACACTCACCCACATTTGATTTAATACCATTTTTTTTTTTTGTTTTCGTAGTTATAGAACGTAGTCAGTTAAAAATCAACCATCTTTTGTTACATTTGCGAATTTAAATATATCGAATACTCTAAAATTGAGCATTATTCCCTGTGGGACGATAACTCACTCATCACAATTATCATTTGTACAACGAACTCGTACGCTTGCGAGATTTTTGCGTAACAGCGTGAGTAAAATTCCAATGACCTGGATTTTGAAATTTTCCAACACAGCAGGAGGGCAGGTCACAAAGGGGGGACGTCAGTACCAGAACAACGCCAGCTCCAAGTGTGACACAGCCACCACCAGGAACCACCACTGCACCTTTTTATAAGGAGTTGGAGTATTAACACCGGACATAGGATCCACAGTTCCGACTCACCAAAATCTAACGCTTCACCAGACCTGTCAATAAAAACAATCTTGTTCCCCGTATGTTTCATTTCATCATTTACATTCCAAACCATGTAGAGTCCAGCAGCATAGTAACTAGATTTATTGTGAAGACTAGGCTAGTGTAGAGTACTGAAGAGAATTCAACGGTAAAATATAATATACCTCTCCAGAACAGGACATTCAGGTTTTGCTCCTCAGGTTCATTGAAGACAGAGTTTAAACAGATAAATTTGTTCCTTCTTTGGCAATTTAAGCTTTTACTTGAGGTGATTCAACAGTTCAATCTCTTACAGGAACTTAGAAAACAGGTAAATGGGTTCGGAAAATAATGGTTGTATATTTTGAATTGGAAATTCCATTTGATGTTCAAAAATTACACATGCGATGTAGCATCAACAAAATTTCTTTTATTCTCACTATATATCATAGTTCAAAACTGATATGCTTCCATATATATAATTGTCATATCCAAAACTGCAACTGATATTCCATCTGCCGCTTCTCTGATCCATATGTCCTTGAGATTTCATACACAGAACTTGCTACTAGAGTAAACCCTTGAGATTCAAGAGAAAATCGGTTGAACTTCCTAGACAGTTCAACGATAAAAACTACGAATATATACGGGAGTGTTTAATTTAGGAGCAATCGAGCAATGCCAAACACTAGAAAGTGGAAAGTACTTGGAGGGCTTTCAATAAAAGAACAGAAAATCGAAAACACTTGAAATTCTATTGAAAATTTAATTCACCAGGCTCGTATATTTCATAATTCTATAGTTTTCACTTACAAAAGAATGACAACGGTAAGGTAGCTTTTTCTTCAAGATTACTCATAGTTTTCGAGTATCAAGCTTCATGCTAGTGAAATGGCATTTGATCGATTCAGTTAGTGAAAATCCATTATAGTCTGAAAAATACATTTTTTTTTTTTGATTTCATACTCCGCAAAGTTTAATTACCTCTGGTTCGACTGGACATCTTTTGGGCTGTCTTACTATATAAATCTGATCTCCAGCTTTGTTGTACATGTCCTGATTCCGATGCCATGTCCAAAGAGCATGTGTCTCATTTTTAACCTGCAAGTCAAATGCAAAACAAAATACTTGTGTCACCTGTAATCTATGTTAATCATTTAGAAAATAAATAAGTCATGCTCCCAGCAGAGAACTCCAGTAACTGAGTATTCTCCGACTAAGATGGTATTACTGATATGAAATTATAGTAAATTAAGGACTTTTAAAGGGTTGTCTAAGGTTTGTAAGAGAGGCTTGTGAGATAAAAACAAGAACTTGCATTTGTGAGATAAAAACAAGAACTTGCATTCTTCTTCTTGTTTATAGTGAACCACTATAAAATCTGTGCGCTCTTTGCTCATTTTTCGATTTCCTTTTTCGTATCTTTCAGTACTCTACAGTAGGGATTAGGTCTTAATACAAAATAAGAGAGAGAGAGAGAGAGAGCAGCAGCAGCAGCAGGTACCTCTAGAATTCCATGGCCAAAGCTGCTTTCCCTGTATGCACTATATTCAGGCTGTTGATCCCAACAAAACTTACCAGCTGCTGGACCAGATGTGAAGTTGTAGGCGCAGAATCCACCCATAAATGCATCTGGTGTGGAGGATGGTTTGGGACATTTACCTGGCTCGTCAGCATGTGTAATTGACATCTTCTCTCTATTCCCTCCATCTCCAACTGTAATGTATACAGGACCACAAGGATCCAAGGTATAGTTATAAACTCTGTTCGACCTCTCATAGGCATGGACCTGCAGATTTTAGCTACTGTGACCTCTTTTTTCACCAATTTGTTAATACAAAGGCCTCTACATGGGCATGTTTCAAGTAAATAAACACTTACATGTCCATTAAAGACTATGTCCACTCCGTACGAATACAGTAGATCTTCCATCGCTACCATCATACATTCGGCTTCTCTATAGTGCGCCGTATAACTGCTGTACCAGGGTGGATGCCATGTAGCTACCAACCATGGAGTAACTTCTCTGTTAACATAAGCCAGATCCTTTTGCAGCCATTTATATTGATCAGCTGCAAACGGAAAAGCCACAGATTCAGGCCGTATTACAGTGAGATAGAGTGAATGGCAACAAGTAGACTCGTTTATACCTGTTTTGCAATATTTAGTATATCCACCAAGCACTACAAAATGTATGCCCCCGGAATTGAAAGAATAGTAGAAAGGAGATGAAGATCCACTTTCTTTATAGGGAAATGCATATCGAGAACTGTAGGATGCAAAAGTCCGATTTTGAGCTTGCAATTCAATTTCATGGTTCCCTTGTACCATCATTATTGGAACTTTAGAAACCAGTGGCTGCATAAATCTGAACAGAGAAATAGAGTGTAAATTGGGGTAGTAAAGACCTAAAGAACCAAATTAATGAATATACAAATAAAAAATAAATTACGAAACAAAAGAAATTCTGTCGAACAGTCCATAATGACATAAATTGTTAGCTCAAGAAAAGATTTCAAACTGAGATAAGGGATTAGAGTTTTCACCTTCCCCAATAATCCCAACGAGGCTGATAGGTCTCGTGTATAGGAGTATCTGGAAAAGAGCAAGAATAGCAATCTGAACTGGTACCGTTTGTAAGATATAAGTTAGCATAGGACAAGTCTCCGACCATCAGAACTAGATCTGGTTTGTTTCTCGTCAAATGGTTGATTGTTGAAGAAGAATTGTAAGTGAGACCGAGATCCCCTACCATAGCTACTCTACTCGGATAACTCCGCGGACCCGAAACCGGCATTGTCTTGAAGGAATAGATATCACTCATTGATGGTATTGAAGGATCTCCACATCTATAGTAGTATAATGTGTTGGGGTCCAACCCTTCACGAGATGAAGCAAACTCTAAGCTCTAAAGTCTAAAGTCTTAATGCAATTTAGCAAATAAATAGGCATTTTCTATCAGTTCAAACTTTTTGATGGCGTGGTTCAACATGATACTAGAGCAAATAAAAATTGTTCACATAGACTCCTTTGATAAAAAATGAAAGCTTGCATATGAGGAGGCATATTGAAACCAAATTTGAATAAATAAATGAGTTCTCTAACAACTTGACGATTTAAATGGCCTCATAGGTGAACAGGAACAAATAATTTCTGCAATATCACTATAACTAAAGCACATATAAGCCAGATATTTTTTACGAGAACTGTGGCAAACAAAGTGAGAGTTAGAATTATAATTCAATCAAGATATTAGAACAACAATACTCAACTCAACCATACCTGTAAGACGAACATGATGGATAATTCCAGAAGTGTAATTCCGAAGACCTTCAAAAGGATACATTTGACTATAAACAAGAGAATGGCCAGTTGCTTTGTGAATCATAGGAAACCTTAGCTTCCCATAATGTATAACACTCGCAACAGTTTTCGGATCCAATGGTTTAATGTTGTCGCAAATTTGGAATTCCCCTGTAAATAAAATAATTCAACTCCAAATTTTTAGTTTGCTCTTTCTTCAACAAATTCATCAAGCAAAACTTCATCACGTAAATTATATAAACAATAGTTCCATCACAGCAAACATGATAATATTCAAAAAAACCAACTTAATCTTAGCCTACCCTTGAAATAAAACCTGAAATTATGGCCAAATCAACGAGTATCTCAATAATTTTTAACTCAAACAAATAAAAAAATTATATAATACATGACATCATCACCCAAAACCTCAAGAATCACACTATTCTATCTTGGAGGAGCAATAATGCTGCTCTTATGCACGTCGTTTGGGTCACTAAAAGGATGGTGGTCGACAAATTGGTTTGACATAAGATGGTTAAAGTCCGATCCTACATATCTTCTTGAATTCTATTTAAATCAAAACCAGACTGAGCAGAAAAAGGAAAGTAATTATCTAACCTGTAATCCAAGAAATCCAAACTGAATCGTGAGTTGAAGAAAGAGAGACAGAAATTTGCTCAGGCTGAAGCCCTGTAACACTCCTTTGCAACCTAGGATCCGTGTCTGGCAAATCTATTGCATTTCCCCTGAAACTTTTATCCAAAGGAACAGTCACAGGCTTGAAGGGACCGTCAAGGGTTGTCGGAATTTCACAATTAACATCAAGCAGATTAAGTATAACCAAGACAACTACTGCCACCCCTGAGTAAAAGCCCATTTCTCCACTAATTTGCATGCACTAAAAATCCCAATCCCAGCTATTAATAGCCCAGAAAAAAGAAATTAAATGGAGCTAGAGCCAAAGTTCTTAAGACAAGTATATTGTAGATTATCTGCTAATTAAGGCCCCCTTTGTCCCCCATTATTTAAATCATTATTTCAAAACATTGTCTGTCAAATTCTCCACCACATTACTACACATTCACTCAGTATTCTATAAAATATTCTACACATGGACGAATAGAGTTCCTTTAAATTTCAACCAGACATTCTAAAAAAAAAATACTATTCATTACTCATTTTCTTCCCCAATAACGGGAGACAAACACACACTAAGGGCTATTGATATCAAGAATACTAGTACTGTGTGTCTTTGTGCGTAGATATTCACACGTATATGGAAAAAGAAAGAAGAAACCCTTTTGGGTGTGAGGAATGGCGTGAGAAGGGTGGATGGTGTGGGCAAACGGAACCATATATCGGCTTAGCCTGCGAATAATACAAAAACATCATCGTTTTACATGAACACTTGATCTGAAAATTTGGCTTTTCGAGGACTTTTTGGTTTCCTACTCGGATGGGGATGGTCCTTCACAATCCGTCTACCTTGCTTGATGACGAATTTTCCTTTAATAGTAATAAACCAAAAAAAGAAGCAAAAAAGGAAAAATGAAAATTGCACTATTAGTCCCTAACCTTTTGAATAGTGATTTGTTGTTGAATGTCTAGTTAGAAAAATTTTGAATTTACGTTTAAATATTTTATTGTGTAAATGTATGGTTGAAAATGAGTATGAAAATTAAAGAATTTTTAAATGATAATTGTTAGATATGGGTTTATAATATGATATAAATACTTCCAATATATTTTTTTCAATGATAACTTTTATTTCTTTCAAATTGTTAGAGGCTACAAGTGGCCATTATAATATATCCATTAACTCCATTATAAAATTTTACTACTACCACATAATTTATACACATGTACCAAAGCTATTAGTCTCAAGGAACAAAATGAGATCGTTTTAGTATTGTCTCTATTGCATTTTAGGTTAACCACAATATTTTCTTGGAAGGAAATGTCACGATTTAAGCGGATGTCTGGTACAACTTAAAATCAAGGAAATTGGGCTTTTTTGACCTTTAATTTTTAAAAATTGGGCCCACTCTTTCACCAAAGAAGTCAAGATTTACCCCTTAATGTCTCTAATTTTGATTACAAGCTGCACCAGACAGCCCCTAAATTTCGTGTGCATTTGATAGGGTATCTCGATGGATACTGAATTGATCAGTAAGGATCGTGTTCGTATTTAAACAAAAATTGGGACTTCGCTTCATCTATTCATAAATGTTTTATTAAGTGTCTGTGTGTGAGTGATTTTAAGTTGTAAAATAAGTGATTTTTTTTACTGTTGCACAATACCGTTGATTTGTGCAAAAGTAAAAAATCAAACAAAGCTGCTGTATTCTGTGTCGACCAAAACAGACAAAAAATCAATTCTTAATTTCCAAAATCATGCTCAGACAGCCCTAAAAGTTGGTATAAATTTTGCGATAAAAAGTTTCTAATTTAGCAAGTCCTTGTTTAAATTTTGTAAAAAAATAACTTTTTTTCGATAATGTATGATTAAAAATTGAAATTTTTTATGATTATGCGTGTAAAATTATTTAAGTGTGAGGATGTATAGTTAAAAATGAATTTGATTTAAAATTAAATTTTGAAAAATGTAATGTTAAATAAATAAATTACCACCAGTGGCAACAGGGCAACACCACCCCTCGTCACTCCCTATCCTTCCTTACCTCGCAGCCGCCACCGCTGAGCACGGCCTTTAATCTCCCACAGGCAAGTTTCTATTTTCAAGTGAGTCTATATATGATGGCCTCTGCAACAATATTCAGGAGGATTTACTTGTTTTCTTTCTTCACATAATCAAATTTACCAGTTATGCACAAATAGCGAAATGGATTCATGATATTGCTTTCAAACTTCTCCGAGTTCCTGCTTCTTTTACTGATTTTTAATTTTTTTGCAGAAAATATCAATTCTTTGAAGAATGTTTCTCACAAGGGTGTTTGGAAGGACACTTTTTGCTGCGGCCAGATCAGAGGCTTCAGCTGCTGGGGCCGCCGCCTCCTCCTCCTCTACTACATATAAGCACAACCCACTTGAGGAGTTCTTTGACACCACTAGAAGCCCAGATGATGACAAGCCTGTTGTTTATGGTGAATTTTATTTCCTTTCAATTACGTTATAAGGGTTAATTTCTTAATTCGACTGTGGTATATTAAGGGTAAAAATTCACGTCAAATAAAGATGAAAATATAGATTGACTTACAAGCGTTCGGACTATTTCTCTTAATAACCTTTTAAGATGGAATCCAAGTCTTGATATGCTAACAGAGCTTATTGAGCTCCAACAAACAATTAGATCCGATTTAGAGCCACCATCTTGTGCGTGACATATCAAGGGATAAAAATCCTCATCAAATAAAGTTGAAAATATAAATCAACGTATAAGGGCTCGTGTTACTCCTCTTAACAAGGTTGATTTTTAAGATGGAACCCAAATATTAATTGGGTATAGATGTTTGATTTTTCTTTTTCTATTGCTACCCGAACTTTGTAAGATGGCGATTTCATAGGTATGCATGTTAAATTAAAAGGAAAGAACTTTAGATTATTGGCAGAGTTTATATTTGGGGTTGAGAATGGTTAAATTAGACATTGCTCAAAAATTTTTTTATACACCTGCATATTTATTGGGAAAATGATAGAAGGGTGTGAATATCCAAGAAAGATTGAAAATGGCGCCATTGAATATCATTTAACTTGGCATTAGATGCCCTTACACTAGATTTGTGCTACAATGTTCAGGAAATGTTCAACTAATAGAATGTGGAGGCGCTTGACGTCTCAGCAAACACAGGTTAGCTGAAAACAGACTTTTGATTAGTACTTGAAGATCACATCAGGTGGCTATTGGTTTACTTGATGTTAAAAAATTAATTTCAATTTATTTTTATGGTCTATCAATTCACGGGGAGTCATTTTTTACATAACTAGATCAGGAGAAATACTCAGGAACGAGAAGGTTGAGCTATGGTTACAATTTTAGTCTATCATCTGTAAACATTTCTATGATATTTTCTTGTCTCTTATGTTTATTTTATCATCTCGTGCACTGCTAAATTAGTATTGAGTGATGTCTGACATTGTACAATCTTATCTTCAAATGGAGATTGAGTTCGATAAAAGAAAGATTTCTTTTCCAGTTTGACATGGCTGTTATAATGAAAAAAAATTGTAATCTCAAGACCTCCTTTTTAAAAGAAAATAGCTTGCAGATGTTTGAGTGTATATGGTTTCGAGTTTTCAGTTATTGCTCTTCTAAATGGATGAAGTACTCATAGTTTGAAAAAACGTAAACGGGTACTGAGGCGTTTTTTTGTCATGAGGCGAAGCGTAAGCCTCAAAACGTTTTGAGGCGTAAGCCTTACCACAAACAAAATAGGTGCAATCTGCCGAACAGAACAAGTGCAATCTGGCGTCGATGCATTGAACAAGGAAAAAGTCGAGCAAAGTCTAGTGAAACAATTTTAAATTGTAAGTCACTAGAAGAAGGCAAAAGCAAAGGAGAAAAGAGACATAGAAGCAGTACTTGAGGACCAAAAAGTCTAGTTGCCTTTTGGTGTTCTAGATATTTTAATATTTTATTTGGCCCAAAATGTCTTTTTAAATGGGCCCTTCTCTTTTTTAAAGAGGACTTTTTTTAATTCTTTTTCAAAAACCTGAAAAAAACATATTTCAAATGAGGCGCACGCCTCATTTTTTTTGCCTCAGCTGTAGAGGCGTGCGCCGCATTTTTTTGGCCTCACAGATTGAGCCTCGAGGTATAGAAGCTACGCCTCACAGTGAGACGGGCCTCAGCAGGGTTTTTTCATACCATGGAAGTACTTGTAGGGTTGAGAAATCTTATCCATATGTTGTGAGCTCTAATTTCTTTTTGCTTCATATTCCTTGTGATCCCGTATATTAAGCTTCTATTTGCTTCACTTGACTGTTAATTTCTCATTTTTCCATTGCATTTGAAGTAAAAAAGTCTGTACTGTCTCTAGTTATATGAGTTATAGATGTTAAAAGTAGGGGCACTACTGTCAAGTCGTTTTGTTGCTTAACAAAGTCAGTACCATTGTTATTGGTCGGGAGAATATAAATTAACTGACTACATGCAAATGCATTCCAAACAGTTTGAAATTTATTATTGGGTGATAAATCTCTGAAGTATATAATGTGCACAAATTTTGGGAAGCCACCAATATCCTCGTTAGGCGATTACTGTTGCATAGGTATTGGCCCCACGACTTGCCTGGATTGGAAGTCCTGGGTGAATTTTTTGAATTGTGACTAACCCCAGCAATTTTTGTCAAAGGTAAAGTTATATTTTATGGCTGTATGGCTAATGTAGAATTTGAAAAAAAGAGGGATCGTGTTTGCCAGATATGATTATTACAGTTTGAAATTCAGGGTTTAAATTAATGTCTTGTTATGAACCTGGTGCAATAGCAAGCACCAGACATGCTTGTGCGGTATTTGGTCTGCACCTGTGGAGATTCCGCATTTCCTTATGCTCTGTTTAAGTTATCAAACTTTATTTCATGGAAAAGATAAGAAACCATTCAGCCAATGTGTATGACCTCTTATGACTGGAACGCTTTGCACCATTTAGTTTTGGGTGGATAGTGTTTGTTTCTTTACTTTTACAATCATGAATGATGCCATTTCTTAGTTACAAGAGTTAATGTTGCATAGAATCCTCATGAGCTGCGTCCTTTCTGATAAAGTCGATTGATTGCTTAGTTTTGGAATGTGATTATACTCATGATATGATGTTCAACCAATTCAGACTAATTAATTAATATTTGTTGAAGACTTTTTATATGCTGAAGGACCATAATATCAAGTAAGAATGTCTCATTTTGTGAAATGCATGTGGTTGGTCACCTCTGTTGTATGGTTGAAAATTAAAGGTATTTTAGCGCAATTATTTTCTAAGGATTACAAGCACCATTTATATGTGTGCATGAGGTATAATAACTCCATCTCTCATGAAATTCGAGACTCAACTATGTAAGATGTTTTATCATAACTTTTGTTCTCTCTGCGCATTTTATTGGTCTTGATCACCTAGAGCACCATTTTTCAATAGGCCGTTTTACTTTGTGTGTCTTTTTCATAGCCATAAATCAATTATAGAATAAATTTTATAAATATATTCAGGTCGAAGTTGGAAGGCTCCAGAACTACGTCTTAAGTCTTGGGATGACCTTAACAAGCTTTGGTATGTTCTCTTGAAGGAGAAGAACATGTTGATGACACAGCGACAGATGCTTCACGCTCAAAACCTACGCTTTCCAAACCCGGAGCGTATTCCTAAGGTGTAGCTTTGTTTCTGAATTTTTGAAATAGTTTTATCGTGTTAATTCTCAGGACGTAGAAAGCAAACATTGCCCTTTCCTACATGTGTGTGCCTTTGTTAAATCACTGTGTTCAAATGAATACTTTTTGGTGTTATCCCTCAGTCATAATTGGAAAGATACGACTACTTTCTTTGAATTTTGTTAATTTAGATTTGAAGTACCAGTTTAATGTATTTTTGGAGAAATTTTTTTTCGTACGATACTTCAATTGAACACCCAACTACTTGTCTTACAATACCCGAATTTGAGTTATATTATATGTTGAACAATTTTAGCACTGCTGTTATGTTTGAGAATGTGAGTGAACAAGGACAATTGACTTCCTCGTAATGAGATTTACTAGTTTTGTTGCCTTTATGATATGGAATTTAATTCTTTTGGCTCGTATTGTTGTGTTTATGATTTGGGTATTGGTGATGATTGAACAGGTAAGGAAGTCAATGTGTCGAATTAAGCAAGTACTGACGGAGAGAGCCATTGAAGAAGCAGATCCTAGGAGGTCTGCTGAGATGAAAAGGATGATCAATGCTTTATAATTTTCAACTACTTTTGTGATTCTGTCTTGTTCCTCTTTTGTTTTTGTTAGTTTTGAACTAGGGGCATCGTACGGATATTGAATAGTCACTGGTCAAGATTCTGTGATTTCAAGAATGAATATTTTTGTAGTCAGTTTTTGTGAAACTATGGGAGGCATTTATAAAAATGAAGAGACATCGAGTTGGGATGTATTTATCTGAATAATGCGTGCTAGGAGATGCAACAAACCTCCTTCCTGGTTCGAAAATCTTTTTATACCAAATGGCATGTCTAGCTGGAGGATTAGATGGTATTGGACAATCCATCGTCGCCCATCGTTTGTTTCTTTTTTATTGTAAAATTTAATCATTTCAAATGGTATTTTTTGGCTTGAGGGCTTGATAGCATTTGACAATCTTATCAGTGATTTTTTTTTAAGAGAAACTTCTTAATTTCGAATGGCATACTTGGGTGGAGGATTTAATAGTAATATAAATAAATATATATATATACACACACACATGTGTTCATTATTCAAATCTAGATAAACATCCTTGATTAAAAAAAAATGTAAATTGCTTGTTTGAGAAAGCTTAAAAAGTTGCTTTTTGACTATGTTGTTCATGGAATTTACGACTTTCAACAAAATTTGCGAATTTTTTTACGGAAACTTTGGGTTAATTATCTCAATCATCATTGAACTTAAAAAAATTACGTCGTTAATTACTGAATTTTGGAATTCGAATTCTCACCCGTTAAAGTTGGTGTTGGATGGGATTGTGGATTCCAAAGTTCAATGTTTAACGGCATAATCTACAAAGTTCTGTGACGATTGAGATAATTAACTCCCAAAACTTTTATCAAACAATCTCTAAATAAGTGAGTAATTATGTCCCTGTTTGATTTACATTATTTTTGAGTAATGTTGGGCACCGTTTGGTAACCATTATTCTAGAAACAAATGCATTCTTTATATCAAATCACATCTTTTTTGTGGTTGAAAATTGATGGAAAATATTATTTTATTGATGAATGTGTGATTGAAAATTAGTAGAAGAATGAGAATGAAAAAAAGAATGGATACCAAACAGAGGCTTATTCATCTCAGTGGGGATGAAAACACAGTCTATGTGTCTTTAAATGATATGTTAAAAGACATATAGACTGTGTTTTCATCCCCACTAGGATGAGTAACATTACTCATTATTTTTTTCATTCTCATTCTTCTACTTATTTTCAACCACACATCCTTAAATAAAATAATATTTTCTATCACTTCAATAAATTCTCCTTCTTTTTCAATCACATATTCTTTTCAAAGTCTGGCTCCGCCCCTGTCTATATCCCCACATTATTTAACATATCATTTAAAGACACATAGACTGTGTTTTCATCCCCACTGGGATGAATAACATTACTCATTATTTTTTTCATTATCATTCTTCTACTTATTTTCAACCACACATCTTTCAATAAAATAATATTTTCTATCGCTTCAATAAATTCTCCTTCTTTTTCAACCACATATTCTCCATCACATCACTTCAAAGAAATGCATTCTCTCATTTTAACGTGCACCAAACGGGCTCTAGATTTTACTATCTCTCTTGACGAAAGAGACTATAAGTTAAGCCCCTGTTTGGGCTTCATTTTATTTTTAAAGTATTTTTATCTTTTTTTTTTTTTTCCAATCAAACATTTTTCACCAAAATAATATAATACATAAATAAAAAACTTTTTCTTATTTTTTAACTTAAAAAAGAAAAAATCACTATTTCATAGTAAATTTTTCCCTAAAATATAATTTTAATGGAGACCAAAAATAGGCTAAATTGAAGTTCTATAATTATTTCAAACTAGTTGGTGCTTGTTTATGTTAATCGTCACTTTTATTCACAGATTTCGTAATATTCACTTGTATTTTCTACACCTCCATCACCCTTAATTAAAATATTTATTTATTATTATCTTTTGTTTTTAAGGGAACAATTTCTGTTACCAAAGTAATGACAATGCAATCTCTTACATGCCCCAAACTTCAATTTGATTGGATAGAACACGTAACTATTTTCAAGACGCCACTCTCATTTGCTGACGCCCAATTCATGGAAAGAGAGAAAATACAGTTACGAAAAAGAATTGAAGAGTGAAAAAGTGACATTGTATTTACGAAAAAAGTTTCATTTTTTTTCCTCTCATTTTCCCTTGTGCGGGTCATCCCACAGAGATCTGTACAGGAAAATAAGGACAAATCTTCTCTCTCTGGATTCTTCAAAAAAGAAGAAAAAGCTACAAATTTTTCCGATTGATATACACAGAAGAACAAGGAGGAAAAGATGAATATATTTAGATTAGCAGGGGATATGACCCATTTGGCAAGTGTACTAGTTTTGCTTCTCAAGATTCACACTATCAAATCTTGTGCTGGTATGCGTTTTTACATCCCTTTAATGTATTCATTTATTTCAACAACCTTCGTAATGTCTTAGTAGAGAAAAATATGTTTCTTTATACTGATGGAGATATTGTTGGAATTTGGGTTAGGGAATGAAAAAATTAGTTAAAATATGTAACTTAAAAAATGATTTTGTGTCAATTTCGGTCAAATATTCGGACTTGATCCGATAGTCAAATCATAAATATAAATAGACTAATTTGTTCTTCTCGTCGAGTTAATCGTCGTGGTATATTTGGAATCTCAAAACCAATTCCGAATGAATAAGAAATTGAGGTCTACAGTTGAATAGAAAAGATGAAAATACTGGCCGGAATAAATGTCTAACTCGATAGCTAGCCTATCGCTCGACAGGCAAGTGAGAGAGGTTCTGTTGAATTGGTGTCGCCGTCGCTCGAGCAAAAGGCTAGCAACAGCGGCGGATGCTTCCCTTCGTGAAGGTTGTTGAGTTTGAGGTGTTAAAAAAACAATTTTTGCAAAATATTCTCAAAAATTATTCCAAAAACATTTTCTTGTAGAGGGAAAATTTTCGTTCAAAGTTTGCTATTACTTGTGATTAGAAGTGATTCTACCACAATTTATATTCGTTGTATCTTGGTAGACATGCCGTAAACCGTTAGCATTGTTGCGGGGCAATTGAGTCTTAAGGAGAAATTGTTTATCACTTGTCTCGGATTTTGTTCTTCGCTTCACTTTCTTTTCATTTCTAGAGCTTAATTTCGCTCATGCGAATTAAACTTAAATATTTCTGTCTAAACGACCATTTCAATATACTATCTATCCAACATATATTTTTTTAATTTTTTTCTTTCCTTATTTTTTTTGGCATTTGTAAAATGATGAATCTTGAAAATATATATGTTTGCTGAACAGTTTTTTTTACCATTATAAGGTGTTTTTGATGGTTTTAAGGTATATTTTAAGGTTTTGGAAACTGGGTTTTGGAGAAATTTTTGTTGGCTTGCTCTAGCTCAAAACTAAGCTTGGTTTTATGTCAATAAGTTTATCCTCAAATGCTATAATACATTGGATTTAATATTATAAGTTGGTGGTCTAACCATCCAATTTGTATGAGAATATTGAAATAGTTAGGCCCTGTTTGGTACACATTATTTTTTTCATTCTCATTCTTTTACTCATTTTCAACCACACATTCTTCAATAAAATAATATTTTCCATCACATCAATAACTTTTTCTTTATTTTTAATCACACATTCTAAGGTTTTGGAAACTGGGTTTTGGAGAAATTTTTGTTGGCTTGCTCTAGCTCAAAACTAAGCTTGGTTTTATGTCAATAAGTTTATCCTCAAATGCTATAATACATTGGATTTAATATTATAAGTTGGTGGTCTAGCCATCCAATTTGTACGAGAATATTGAAATAGTTAATGCATGAGGAAATAGAAAGTTATTTATGATTATCATTTTTTACAGAAATGATGTAGAACTTTTTACAGTAACAATTTGGTACTACAAATGGAAGTTGGATTATAATGAGGATGTTGAGTAAAAAAATTTCAAAGGAATAGTATTAGAAAGCACTATCTAAATGCTATGAGTGAATTTATCAGTGGCTGGAAAACATAATGTTTAGCGTTTGTTTGTATTTTGCAAGCTTGATAACAGTTTTTTAGTATTTTAGGCCTCATGGGACATGCAAAGCTTTGATTATTATTTATAGACTAGTTTTTGGACATTTAAAAGCTGAAAGGATCCAGTTGAAGCCCCCTCGTTATGTTTTCTCTACGGGACCTTCAAATGCGGTCCACTTGTAGTCGGTTTTGGTACCATTAATTGTTCCGTTTTATTATTATTATTATTATTATTATTATTATTATTATTATTATTATTATTATTATTTTGCCAAACTCTTCTTGCTTTCACTACTCACTCTACAGTTCAGTCTTGAATCTTGACAACTAACGTTGAATTATCAAACCAGTTTTCTAAATGATATAATATAGCCATAGGCACCTATTTTGTTATTAATATGTTACTCGTCCATAGTATATGATGCCTCATTGATCTTTAGGTTTACGTATAATCAGTTTTGCTTTCTTTCCCTATCATTTGACTTGTATTTTTGTGTACGAAAATTTAACATAAGCTACACGAGGAAGTATCTACATGTGAATGAAAGCTCATCATATCTTTTTCTGATTCACTTATTATGTTTCACGTGATACTATTGTCTTATTTGTAGGCATTTCGCTGAAGACTCAAGAGCTTTATGCTATTATCTTTGCTACTCGTTACTTGGATCTATTTACGGGCTATATCTCACTTTATAATACTCTAATGAAATTAATTTTCTTGGGGAGCTCTTTCTCAATTGTTTGGTATATAAGGCATCACAAGATCGTCCGAAGATCCTATGACAAAGACCAGGACACTTTTCGCCATTATTTCCTCACGCTGCCATGTTTACTCTTAGCTCTACTCGTACATGAGAAGTTCACCTTCAAAGAGGTATTATTCCCCCTTTTCAGTAATGAAAATGTGATTGTTTCTTTGACATATTGTGTGCATCTTGTAATTTTTTCAAACCTTTGTACCTTATGTTAGTCCTACTGCTTTATATGATCAACCAGGTAATGTGGACATTTTCCTTGTTCTTGGAAGCCGTTGCCATCCTTCCTCAGCTGGTCTTGCTGCAGAGAACAAGAAATATTGACAACTTGACTGGGCAATATGTTTTTCTTCTAGGGTAATTGATTGTTCCCACATTCTAACTTGTCACCATTCGAAGTCTTTGTTGCGTAATTTTGAGGTTTCAGGTGGGTTTGAGCTTCATTGTCAAGTTGCATTCTGAGCTTTTATGAACAGTATTTTCTCTTGTTAAGATTATTGTAGTTTTTTGCCTACACTTGTGCCTGTAACGTGCTTGTTTATGGGATATGATAACATATGGCATAAAAGATAGTAAGTTAGCGTCGTGCACATAAATAATTGAATTCTCTCTGCCATTTTTGCTTGGCCCATATCTTGGCTTCTCTTGCCAACATTGTCGTTCACAGTGGATGTCATATTCTATCATCATTGGAATAATTGTTAAATCATTGAGTCTGAATTTATTCAAGTGAATTTAGAGATTCCAGTTGCTGACTGTAATAGGTATGATTAATAAATGATCCTGAGGTACGTCTAGCTAATAATTAGGTCGACAATTATGCAGTGCTTTCTATGCAGAAATGTTGTTGAGAACAAAATATGATCAGCAGTTTCAAAATGAAGGGCATAATATGATAGGAGGCTGAATTGTCGGAATCAGTAGCACGTGCATGGAAAAGATGTAGGTGAATATATGAAATATACTTCCAGTGAAGAACATCTTATGAATGTTCATAGAAGTTATTTTCTGTACAAGATAGAAATGGAGAATCATAACAATTAAAGTTTCGTCGGAGGTGGAGATCATGGACAGTTGTTGGTTTTCCAAGTTAGACACTTTTCACATGCTATCAACTCAAAGTATGATCCATGGATGAGTTAGATAACATACCAGGAGGGAATTGACACCTTTGATCTGTTCTGGGGAATTGTATGAGATTGGCCATATGAAGTCAGCTTATTTTACTGCTTATTCATATAGTTGCTGGTTCAGGTGATTTGATCTAACTTGTAAGGGTGAAATTTTATGTGGACAAATAGGACTCTGTTGGGTGTGTTACTTTCTAGAGCAAGCCATTCTTGTGCATTTTGGATCCATTGTAGTTGATAAATTGCTGCAATTTCATTGAACATTTTGATCTCCTCCCTCCCCGTGCATGTACGAGTATACGCATGCCCCATCCTTTCCTTCAACCATTTGATTTCTTTGCTCAACTTTGATGCAATTCTCAAATTATCTTCACGGTTGGTGAATTGACAAACTCGGTATCATCATATTAACATTATTTAGCTTGTCTAGATATTGGTTATGAGCATCATTTAGGGCTTTGTTTTGTCTATTAATCTCTACTTTTGAAACTAAAATTATTCAAGCTGTCCCAATGTGGAGTATAGACATCGCTGCATGAGTTTACATTTTATTGAAGACTAGAGCAGTATAATTCATGACCTTTTTTGACAACTCTATCTCGTCTTCTTTTAATGCAGAGCATACCGGGCATTATACATTTTAAACTGGATTTATCGTTACTTCAATGAGCCACACTATGTCCACTGGATAAGTATGCCTCTCGACTCTCTTTTGTTGCTGTAGGCCTTCGTGTATAAATAGCTGATGTTCATCTTCTTTAACAAATTCCTATTTACTGGTTCTGCTACTGCAGCTTGGATTTCTGGGCTTGTTCAGACGCTGCTTTATGCTGATTTCTTTTATTATTACTTCCAAAGGTAAAATTTTTAAGGGTTCAGCCATAAATATTCTCAAACTCGAGCTCATGTTTCGTCTTTAAATTGCTTTACCCTTTCATTTCACTGTTGCAGTTGGAAGAAGAACGTCAAGCTCGAATTACCTGCTTGAGCTCAACTTTTACAATGTGCTAATTGACGAAATGTTCCGAGGAGCATGTACATTTTGAGTTGGGTGCTTGGCATTTTCGTTTAATACGAATTTGACCAGAAGCAAAGCAATTTTTCACTTCACTCTTTGGGATTGTATGAAGCCTCCTTAAGAAAATATACAGCAAAACATTTATAAAATAATAATGTTGGAATCGTGAAAAATTATTATTTTAGAGAGATTATTAATTTATCGATAAATGAATACTTATTAGTTTATAAATTATTTTATATTTTTACAACTTGTATTATATTTTACAATCTATAAGTACACAAAAGGTGCGTACGTACGTACGGACACTAGACATGAGACATTAATGTACATGCATTGACTTCATAGTTTAATATCCTAGTGAAAATAATGCGGTGATAGAATCTACTGCTGATGAAAATATTATCCAAGTGGTACTTAATATATCTATTAATGATAATCATGATCCAAAAGATAATTGTGTTTTATCAATTGTTTCTTTAAAAGATGCATTTTAAGCAATTGTAACCTTAAATTATGTGTAGGATGTGCATTATAAAAAATTAGGGATGAACTTGAGTTTTGTTTGGATGCAAAGAAAAAGCCAAAAACTTTACGTGCATATAACTATTTGACATGAATTCCCAAAACTATTCTCTTTTTTCATCAATTTAGTTGGTCATATTTTTTAGAGTGCCTATAAACTCCACAATTCGAAAACTTGTGATTTCATACTTATCTTGGATGAGTTTTTTGGCAAATATAAATGTAAATCAAAATATAAAAAATAATAATAATAAAAAATCCCCAACTCAAATTTCCTACATCTGGTCATCACCCATTTTGTAAACTCAGAGAAAGAAAACCAAAATTGGATAATTCTGATCAACCATGATTTGCATTATCCAAAAAATGGACCAAGATTTATGCCAAGGTGCTGCTTAAAAAATTGGCACCCTCTGTAAGAATACAATCAATCCATTTACAGAAACTAACAATCAATTCTGGCAATTCAAACTTACATCTCGATATATTCTGAAGAAAGGATGGTCCTCAAAAGCTCCTTCAAATTAGCTAGAACATGGCGTGGTCCTAAGCTCTTGACTCCAATAAAATTTAGGAGCTGCTCTAAATCCTACAAAAATGTCATTGAGTAACAGAAAAGGTCATCAACAAGGCACAAAAATAGCAATGTAATTTGTGATGAAGTTGATTGCAAACTATGTGCAGAAATCAAAACTGGATATGAATAAATCCAATGCCGTCTATAACAGGTTTGTTATACAGTTTCGTATCTAATAAAAGTCATGTTGGTGGATTGAAGAAGATAAATGCATGTATAAAATTCAGCACCTACTCCAGAGATCCTCTCCACAATCAAATGCAATTACAAGTCAATAATATCATTGTTTTAACAAATTATTTTTGTAACTGGCATTCCCTGCATGATATAATGATACACTGAGGCTTACGGTGAACTATATCAAAAGTGCAGATGCCTTAATGTTGGTTCTTTCAAATAGCGAGTGAACTATTGATCCAAAGTTTATCAAGGGGGAAGTAGGCAAGAGGAATATATTATAAAAGAAAACTCGGACATAGGGGAGGGCCAAAATCATTAAACATTTCTACTGCTCAAAACTTTGTACCACAATACATAGGAGAAAAGTGAACTTCATCAAGTGTACAATAAACCCCAGTGAGGATATTAAGGTTCAAAGCGCCAGTCAGAAAAGATTAATTTCTTTTAGTTTTCATCTAACTAATTCTTTTACATTTCTCTCTTCTCAGCCAACTCCTATAAGGTTTAGAGAGAGGAGGAGAAAAAAAAATGTGGAGGCAAGATCCCCTTTACCAAAACAGTTATGCAGCCTAATCTTTTGCAGCTGCTCCTGTTTTGTGTTTAGATTGTTGTCAGTAATACCACAGATAATTGGTGTAAAAAAGGGTAATGAACAAGATTTATGTGGGGTTTTTAGTACGGCCTTCACATAAATGGGCTCATGCTCAATCACATTCTTCACTAAGTTTTTATCAACTTTTCAATGGGTAAAAATTCAGTTTTAACCACACATTTCATGGGACCCACAACTTTTATCTACTTTTCAATTACACATTTCATCAACTTTTGTCAAAATGTGCTAAAACTTTTATCAAAAGCTTTGTTAAAAACCCCTAAATGTAAATATAAAAGAACAAGAGCTCCTCACTGTCACTGCATCCACTCAACTTTTTGATGCAAGTTTACTGAAGTAACAAAGCAAAGCAAACTACAGAGTCCAAAGACAATTAAAATAATACAAAGAAAAGTTTGAGTGTGACCTTTTGAGAATCAAGGTTATGACGGACAATTCGTGACATATTACCTTATTGTTGTCAAATTGTCATATAATACATTAGGATACCAAGATTTTATATTATAACTCCGAGTCTAAAAAAATATCCTAGACAATCTAATGCCACTCAAATTATTAATTCCAAATTCTACAATTGGATTAATGACCACAATGATATAAATTTATATATCCTTTCCCGTCCAGAATAATCTTCTGCTTAATTTAAGTGAGAATATCCGCAGAAAGATAGGTACAGAATATTTCAGAAGCTGAGCAATCTCACACCACCATCTAGATCTACACATCAGTAAAAGAATCAACACGCGTGAGCAAAAACACAAAAATCAGGTCAGGAACAAAATTAACAAGAAAAAATTGATATGCCCAGCTCTCTATCTTGTACAACAGAAAATTCATGTAAGATCATTAGCAGACAGTATTATAATGCTCCAAAAATTTTGAATATGTTTCAATATGGTTTAACACACTAGAAAATTAAGAAGTGCTACACACCTTATTTAGCAAGAACATAGCATAAGCTGCTCTTGTGAAGTCTTGCCCTTCTATAAAGAGAGGGAATTCTACCGGCTTCGAACTTGTCAAACTTTCTGAATAAGAGTCTGAACTGGACATTGAATGATCAATTGCAGGTGCATAATCACGTATATATGATCGAGAACCTCCTATCCGTAAAGGATAACGCAAAGGAACTTGTAAATAAGAAGCGATGAGTGAGACAGCCTGCATAAACAACAGGTCATCATGATTAAGCGATATTAAATTGCAATTAGTGCTCTGGCAATATTCTAATGCCTACATGAATGCAATATCCGATAAAGGTCATTGAAATCCAAAACAGGTTTAAACTAATTGCCAAGTTGATGACAAAAGTGATTGATCCCAGAGATATGACAAAGCATAATAACTCCCCATATATTTTAGATGTCTTATCACAATTCATCGCAACTAAAGCAGATTACGCTTGAAAAGATACATAAGTTGATCAAATTATGCCAGGCAAAGAGGAAGAACGCACGTGTGCTACATATCCCAGGGCAGTCGAAGATCTCTGAAGCTCCTTCTTATCAGTGAAAAAACTCATCTTCGTAAAAGGGATCACAGTGAGATGCAGACCCAAGATGGTCAAAGAGCCTTGATCAACATGTTTTGATCCAGATGGAACACCTGAAAGTAGTGACAAGAAACACAACAGAATAGAGATTAATCAAAATAAACCAATCAATTACGGAATTAAAAGCTGTAATAATCATGGCAATAACCTAAACTATCAATTGCAGCTGGAATCTTTTTATAAAAAGCAATCTTTTTATAAAAAGCAGAGTCAGCATATGATAAATGCAGTCACGCATTGCTTATATCAACTTGGATATGACTCAAGCATACACATATATAATATTCAAATTGAAATCAGTAAGGAGGTAATGAGATTACAAACAATTGCAAAGATGCTGAGAATAATTCATTGAAGCCTTGACATTCAACAGCTGATATAATCAAGAAGCTATATAGAAAAATGATCCTAACTAAGCCAAGGGAGTCATCCATATAACATGACTATTAGAGATACAACCTATGCGCCCCTCAGAAATTTCCAGTCAATTCTTGGTGCTTGTATACTGACTTTGTAAATTTAGCAACCACAGTGTACAAATTACCAAACAGACCCAACCCCTCTACTTTACCTTATCAGAGCATAAATTTGATGGATTATTGGCTCAGAGGATTTCCCTAATTTTAAGCCTTATAAATTGCAATCTTTTAAATGCTGAGCAAAATAAATAAACTGACCAAAGGATTAAAAACCCAGTAAATAAGATATTTTTAATGCAATAAGAACACACCTCGAAGCCCACAAAAGTACATAGATGGTCACAAATATGTATCCTTTTTTTCTTCAGTACAACATAAGATGAGACTAGTGCAACCAGAAAACTGTTATCTTGATAATATTATTGCCACAAATGGCCATTGGCACATAAAAAAATAACTACCAATTTTCTAAATTTTGGGTATCCTAGTCCACACAATCATGCAGACCATGATAAAACATGCAAAGTTCTTTCCTCCTATTTTATAGAAAATAACAAGACAAGAGAAAAGAAAACATGACTTCAACCCTCAACATCATTTACGCTAAAATGATGGATCCAGATAAATGTAACTTTGCAGCAACTACTCCATAACAAAACTTATCATCTCTATCCTACGAAATGAGGCATATGTTGAAGGGATACAAACAAATATATGAATGATATAACTGTGTTACCGGTCACAATTATGTTTCCATATTCAAATAATTGGGCAAGTCGTATAATGGATTTATAAATTTCTGTCATTTAGGCATATGACCTACTTTTGTTCTACATGAGGTAGAAAATAAAGAGTGAGTGCAGAAAAATATAAGCAGACTTTCTTCTTTACTATATTTGACTCACAACAAAGCTTGCAACCGAATTAAATAAAAATATATGCATCTGTCCAAGAGTTGAAGCAAGTTATTGGCTTATTCGTGGTTCGGTAGACGAATAAATATATTCATCAACATGATACATTAACAATTTTTCTAACTCTAATCAAATATAAGATCTATTACCTGATTTGATACTGCTAGTGAATGATTCAAGTTCTTGCTCAGGAGCACGTCCAATTACAACCTTCACAGGATAAAGGAGTGAAACTTGTGATACCATATATCGTTGTCTCAGTCTCAATGACTTCTGCAGGTTTTTTAGATGAACACAACTTTTTTCTCCAGTGAGTGACCTATTTGAGTCCTGCGTTGAAAGTAAATTTATTTCAGGTGTGCAAAAGTAATTTGTAAAGTTAATGCAAAAATTTAAAGTTGAGATTTGATAATAAAAGGGGAAAATTTTCAAGAGCATGTGGTGATAAAAGTTTCTAAAAATAACTGTAAAATAAAAAAATAGAATTACTCAACAGAAAGTAAATATAAAAGACTTAAGATGCTTCAAAAAATGGTGTATATGCTCAATACAGAGAAGACATGGTATTACGAAATGGAGGTCAAGAGGAGCATAACAAAAAAAAAATAAGCAAATGAAACAATCACTTTCAACAAGCATTCCCTCAACTAGGAGCCTTCCACTTCTATATTCTACAAATAATACACTCCCAACCACGCTTAATCAAAACAATCATTCCAATTCCATGACCCACATTATCAGTTCAGTGGAATGCAAAGAAAGGGAGGAAGAATATCTTTATTTCCAAGACACATGCAGAAATTTATTAAGGAACCCTTGAATCCACGAGGAACATGAATGAACTTTGTAATTTTGTTAACTAAATAATAATTAATTCTGTGCATGTAATGTAGTCCCCCTATTAATTATGGACTTAAACATATAAAGCAAAGAAAGTTATTTTTTGACAAGAACCAATTTGAACTTTAAGTATTAGCTGAAAATTAAAACTTCCAACAGATGAAGCAGAGATCTAATTGTCAATTTTACATCACTGCTAAATTTTCTACACACAACTTGAATTACGAAAAGAAATAGTCGCAACCATTCAAAAGCTATAAAATTGAGGTGACAAAAAATTTCTCTTAAAAAGATTCAGGATGATACGCGATAAATAGTTATCCTTAGTGATCTCCATAAAAGATATTGATAGTTTGCGTACTGATTAATCATGCCCACTCCTTGCTTTTCAAGAACCCTCAAAAAGTCAATAAGAACAGCATCAAAGGTACATACACCAATATATGGCTCCTCGCACCCTGTACAAACATTTCAGACAATTGTCTTATAATGGCAAACCCTACTCCTTCGAAGTATTTCCTTTCCAAAAATTGCATTTTGAATTTATGATTGAGTGAGAAGTATTTTCAGTGACAAAAATCGTCAAGAGCTATGATTTTCAAATAGGCAGGAACCAAGCTATTAAAAATAGCATTACTCTAAAAGTGTGGAGCTATAGAGAACTTATTCCCATCATATTCACTTTAAAGAAATAAGCAACTCCTCATCAAGAATCTAGGAGATAGCAACACAGAGCTGTCATAAATATAGCCTCTGGTGTGGTAAAATAGATACAAACAGAAAATAGACATAATGAAATAGAATAGCTTTATCTCAAGCTTCCCAGAAAATCCAAAACAAGTCAAGTGATAAGAGAATAACCGATACCCAAGTGCTAATCTAGAGGTGAGGAAAGAACAAATGGCAAAGAAAAGCTTAATCACTTATATAGACAGAGATTACCTGCATGCGTTTGTTGGCTGCAGAAAGAGCAGCTCCAGCAACCAATAAAGATCTAATTTCAGAACTAAGTTGCTCCTCCTGCTTCCTTACTTTCTCCTCTACAACCTTTGAATGCATTGACATGTTTCCCATCACCAATTTACGAGATTCCAATTTTTCATGCATCTCATTGAGCTCATTTGTCCAGCTTAATGTTTGGGCTTCTACCTGTGCACATTAAAACTAATCATAAAGCATGAAAATTATAAAAGTGAACAATTTTATTAAAGAGAGTAGAATAGAAGGGAATAAGAGCAGTCTCGTCGATATTTCCTGAGATAAATACTCTTCAACTAATAACAAGTAAGATCAGAGCAAGTAAATGAAGCTAAAACTAAATTGCAAACTCTTTCCTTCAATGACTGCAGGGGAAAACTTTTTTAAAATACCAACTCAAGTAATTATGGTGGCTTTATTGGGTTATATCAAACAAATTGCAATCACGACAAAAACCATGAAATCATTAAGAGAAAAGATGAGAAAAATTCAAACTTACATTTCTTACTGTATATTCTGTTTGGAAAAATCCCAGTACTAGTTTCAATTACAAATAATACTTCTTTCCAGTTACCAGCCAACTGTTTAAAGGATAAAACACTAACTTCACTTTTCTGAGCAAAAATGAGTAAATAAATTTGCATAAAGATCACAAGGTTGCAGTTCCATTCAGAAAGATTTGCACAATGTGACGTCTTCTTGATTCTGATGTAGTGTGACGGGGTTGCACCCTTCATCAACAGCAGAATCATATACGATAAATTGAAAATATCAAAGCAGAAATACAGGATGATATATTTTAGTTTAGATATCTTGCAGTTCCGCAAACCACATAGAAACATGACTGCAGTGACAATTTTGGATGCACTAGTGATTTCATATAAGGAACACTAATTGCTATGAAACTGGTCATTTACATGTTTCATATAACCATTTTCAATAAGTGTTATCCCTCCATTATACCACCCTACAAACTGGTCGGTATTAATTGTTATTCCAGGGTGGTTATAGATGCTTGCAATTGTTGTGTACTTAAAATTCTATCTTCACTCAAATTCTAATGCATAAAGCCATATAAACAGCTTCACATAATTTAGCACAATGGGAAACGGAAGACACCCAATTGAAGCAAAAGTGTATTAAAAGCACAGCTATAATTGAGTGCAAGTAGCAAGTTATAACTAACACCTTATCTTAGTTTGGCAAGAGCATTTGAATTAAATTTGTTTTGACCATAATTCAATGGCATAGACTCTTCTAATTATTATAAAGAATCTAAAATCCTCATTAAGAAGCATATTGCTTGGGTTTGTTGTTTTCACTATAGGAATTTTTCATATCTACCATTTCAAACATAGTTTAAGAAACAGATTTGATTACTTAAATTGGTATTGTGGTCTATTTTAAAACTTTTAAAATCAGTTTTGACCATTTACCATTGCGAGTTTATTACAAGCTTCAAACTCTTGAAGAGAACAACAAATACTTTACCTTGGATTCGTGAAAGTCAATTCGAGTAGATTATTTATAACACTTAAAGCCCAATTAAACTAGCTCGAAAACCAAATGCTATGTTTTCTTCTATTAACATTTAATAATCAACATTTTACTATTTAGACATAAAACCACGTGAAAAGAAAATTGTGAGTTGAATTTCGTAAATTATAAAGAAAAATTAGTTATGTTAAAGAATGATATCGATTATCATTAACAGATTTAATATGATTTCCCAATCATAAATTTTTAAACAAAAGGAGAAAAAGAAAAGGAATTTGGATAAAGTGCATACTTGTATAAGGGAATTGAGTTTCTGTTCAAGATTATTCTTCCTGCGCTTCGCTTCATCAAGTGCGGATGTCAAACTACAGAGTCGCGCCAGCTCTTGCTCGTAATCCTCCCATTCTATTACTTTCGGTTTTTGATCTTCTTGTCCCTTCTGCTTCTCTTCTTGCACCTTCACAGTGGGCTTCTGCGATTCCATTCACAATTCACAATCAAAGAATCATCAACAATATTCAATTTCAACAATAAAAAACGATCGTCTTTGTAGGCCCGCCAGTTCTTCACCATCGTAGTACGGATTTTGTGGGGGGGAATTTTAGGGTTCCGATGATGTTAATTTCGACCTCATTATATGGAGTAAAAAATTGGAAAATTTTGAATCTTTGATTTTCACGAAATGCTGGAGAAATTGTTGTTGAAATTGACAAGTAAAGCACTTTCTTGTTTTTGGAATCACTCCTCGCTAACAGACTTCTCCCTTTCCTTTTTATGTACTGCGGTCTGTTGGAATCTCATTATAATCAATTTAGGGGAAAGCGCTGTCCTATTAGCACGTTTTCTTTGTCTGAATTGGTTTACAGTTTTTGGTTTGAAATCAGCAAAGGTCCTCAACCGTTGACACTTATTGTACTTTTATCCCCAATCTTTAAAATATAAGATTTACATCCTCAGCATTTCATTTTGATAGCTCTTTCATCCTTGATGGATGGTTAAACTAGTAAAAATTTGTTCAACAGGTCATTTTGCCCTTATACATGGAAACTAAATAAATAAAAGCAAGATACAAAAAACGAAAACTGGGTGGCCATTATCATTTCCGCTCCGTTGGAGTATTCTGGAGGTGGGTTGGAGAAGATTTTATCAAAGTAGAAATCCTCTTATGAAATCAAACTTTTAGGTTGAATGACAATTCAGATGCAGAAGATTGCACAAAAAAAAAAAAATCACGGCTTAAGGCTTATAATTGCTAGCACACGGCAAGTAAAAAGTTTGAGTAATGTTATTTACAGTGAACGATTACTGTAGCCATCATATGTAGCATATATCTAATTATTTAATCATCCATTGTGAGCATTATTAATTAATAAAATAAGTGATTAGATATATGTTACAAATGATGACTAAGATATTCGCTACTCAAAAAAATTTAGTATCTCAAAGCATTGTCCATATATACCATGCAATGAGAATGAGTTAGGTCATGATTAGTTTTTACAATCCCGCATAAGAGTGTTCATCCATGGAGAAGAGAAATGGAAATAAAAGCAAGGCAAGGATGGGGCTCAAGATTCAATCTCACTCAAATCGATAAGAAGAAGTTATAGTAGTGGAATAGGAGACAGTGCTTATGTACTTACAGAATTCGATCTTCAGGGCGAGACATGAAGAAAGAGATTTGGTCAGATCAATCCATTCCGGTGTTCATCCGTGGAGAAGAGAAATTGAAATAAAAGCAAGGCAAGGATGGGGCTCAAGATTCAATCTCATTTTACATTCCTATCATTAGTATATCTCTTCTAATTGATCGTTGAAAAAGAATAATTGAGAATGAATACTCTGCAGAGGTTTACACCACCAGCAGCGTTATTTCTGATTAATTGTCTCTGTGTGAAGGAATCTCATTTGCATAATCAAGAAATTCGCGATGTTAAATGCCTAGGTGGAGGTTGAAAAATTCGATGAAATGAATGATTTCTGCTTGTGGGAGATGAAGATGGCCCGGGAAATGTTGGTCTAGATGAGGCTTTGAAGGGTGAGGCTGGTATGTCGGCTGTGCTGACAGCGATTGAGCAGGCAGATATCATATTATGAAGAAACCCAAGACCACCATAATCCTGAGCCTAGAGGATCAAATGCCGCACCAGGTGTTAATGATCAATACTGCCTCAGAAATATGGCATAAGTTGGAAGAAATTTACATGGTTGAGTCTCCGCCCAACAGAATTCACTTAAAGCAAAAGTTCTTCGGTTTTTGGATGGACGAGGGAATGCTTTTAGATGATAATATAGATTCTTTCACAAAATTGGTTCTGGATTTGGAGAGCATTGAATTGGAAATTGAGTAAAAATTTCAAGCTGTACAGCAAGGACACTCTTAATTTGCAGGGTGTGATTGGAGAAATTCATGCCAAAGAACTAGATTTGAAAGCAGAATTAGAATAAATTTAATCAGAAGGGCTAATGCCATGTGGCAGACCTCAGAAGAAAAACTGAAAATTTTCTAGAGGAATGTCCAGATCGAAATCAAGGGGGAAGCAAACCAAGAAGTTCTATATATGCGATGTGGAAGCGACAAAACAAGAACAAAGGTAAAAAGGGAAATGAGGACGACATCGCAAATATCTCTGAAGGATGTCTTGGTTGCATCAGAAATTCTCGTGAACCAAGCTTAGATCATGGATTATGGTAGCAGTTTTCACGTGCCTAAATAAAACATCGGTTCACTGATTGCTTAGGCCTTTTAGATGGGGGAAATGTGGTATTGGTAAATGATGAATTCTGGGAAGTGCCTCTAGTTTCATCAACATTGGTGAGCTAATGGAATCAGGTGGCTGGGGAGATGGTGAATAAAAAAAATCTGGAAGGGAGATGAATTCACACGTATAAATTTACACTCATAGAGATGAATCAGCAGAAACAAATCTTGATACCTACAAAACTTACTAGGGAGAAACAAAGAAGAGTCACGAGACCTTGAACAAGGTATGATGAAAATCTTGATACCTACAAACCCTTTTTTTCAACATTAGCAAGTGATCTGTGACTAAAAGGTTATTCTAGGTGAAAGGGGCACCAGGTCATGAAAAGCCCAGTGACAAGTGTTATGATGAAAATTGAGTTTAAAAGTGTTGGAAAAACTGGATAAAACTAAGTTAAATGGCTGACTTTGGCACTAATTTTGAGCGGGACCCGCTTGGCTATTTTGAAAGATGAAAGTTGATTTGTGTTCTCCTCCGTGAGTACATCGAAATCATATACTTACTTGTCAAAAATGATGTTTGGGTGAATGAGAAATTGAAATTCAAAGTATGTCATGTGAAAGGAGTTTATGTTGGTGGGAAAACTAAAAATAAGGTTTGTCCCACATAGGAAGTGGATGAAATCTAAAACCACTTTATAAAGAATTGCACTTTAGAATGGTGTAATCATGTGTAGCATAAATGCTCTCTCCACGTGTGCGCGCAAGAGGGTGCAAATAATGGACCGAAATAGGCTTCGGACCTTGAACTTGTGTGCGAGCGCGACCTGCGTACACAAATGTCGGACCGAAAGGAGCAAAATTGGCCCTTTAGGAGTGTCCACATTTTGCTACATTTTTTAATTTTTTCATCCATTTATTTTGCTACATTTTTTAATTTTTTTCAACAGACTTTGTGTATTTTGGTATATTGTGGTTGAATCACAAGTTAAATCGTAATATCTGGGACCAAATGGATATAATTATAAGTAAAGATTAAATAGATCAATTCAAATAATAAACACAAATATGAAAGCAATAAATAAAAATGAGAGATGATGCAAACGATGTAATTGTGGAGTTTCGATCTAAAACAATGATCTACGTCATTCGTTACCAAATTCTCATGCATGAGCAATGTATTTTCACTATATTGATTGACTTATGGTGCAATCTAACCATTTATAACGCTTTTGATGACTTGCGAACAAGGAACACCAATCCTTATACAATGTTGAGCTTTACGGAACCTCAACACGACACACTATTGAGTTTTACAGGACTTCAATATGACCCACATGGTGACTTACAACAAGGAGCATTGATTCTTATACAATGTTGTCATTTATGAGGATTCAACACGACCCACACTTTATCAAAGTGATTTTACAATAGAATTCATCTCTTGATAAATAATACAAACAAGTTAAATACTAAGAGATGCTAGTACTTCAATGAATAGTAATAAATAATAGTTCAAGTGTTAGACGAAAACTTTGATATATATAATAATTAGAAATTTGATTCAATCAATCAAAATTTTCCAATGATAAGATAAGAAGAAATAAATGCAATATAAGTTCAAAAATCTTCTCAAAATATATATTTCTTTTAATGAATGATTGCAATAAATGAAGTACCAAAAAGATATGAGAAACTTTGATGAATATTATGATTTTGCAAGTTTAATTCAAGCAATCAAAGTTTTCAATATTAAATAGTAGAAAAAATATATACAATGTAAGTTCTAAGATTTTCCTAAAAATGTCTCTCTTTTATGAAAAAATAGAAATAAGTTAAGTACAAAGAAAGAGATGAATTTTTTTATGAAAATGATGATTAAAGAGTTTGAATCAATCAAAATTTTTGATATGAAAAACTAAATTAAATGAATACAAATGTAAATTTAAAGAAATATTCCAAAAGATATCTAAATTTGATGCTCTTAAAAAATGTTGTACTGAAAGTAAGAAATAGAGGTATTATAGAGTTCAAAACGTCAAAACAATATAGTCATTTATACAGTAAAGATCGGAGGTCAGAACGATCAAATTTAGGATCGTTGAAAACTTCGGATCGAATGCCTCTCCCGACAACAATTTTGGTCCTTTTACGTTTTGGCCCAATTTGATCCGATTTGAAAATTTTGAAGGACATGGACTTTTGGAAAGTATTTTTATCTAACTTTTCAAGATAAAAAAATATTTTTCAAGTTCAAATATCATCTTAAAAGTCATATTTATATTTGATCAAAATATTGAATTGGAATGATTTTTAATGCACAAAATTGTTTTTAATGTATAGAAGGATTTTGAGTTTAAGCATTCATTGCTATATATCAAAGTGCTAGCACTTTTACACTTTAGCTACGAAATTAAGTCTTTGATCTTGTTCTGAAGTTTGGCTCTTAAGTTCTTGAATGTGAGTTTGATCTTGATCTCTTTCATGAGTCCGATTTGTAATGATTGCTTTTGATTTTTTGATGACCATTGATTAATTTTTTATCGTATGTATTGAAAAACTATGATCACTTGAATTCAACTTATTAGTAACACAATTAATTTGTTTGTTATAATCGAAACTTTAAGGTTATGATCAATTATATGCTATCAATTTCCCCATTTTCATTATGACAAGTAAGATGATTTGCACAATAATATTGAACAATTGAGAGGATACCGACTTCTGAATATTGTAGGGCATTACATTATACTAAAAATTGCTAGTTAGTGACCAAACTCTAGAGAAAGTGGTGGGTGCTGTCGCATGCATCCAAAAATAATACATAAACCTCTAAAACTAATGTAATAGTGGAAATAAGGATCGATCCCACGAAGAGTATGTAATTCAATATTTTATGTTTCGTACAATGATAAGGGGTTTTTGTATTGAAAGAATTGTAAATAACACAATTAATAACAATGAAAATTAATTTAACGAAAACAATCAAAAGACTAACATTGGTCCAAATCCACATCCACCGTCGAAAATCCACAATTGATCATAGATGCAAGGATAATTCAATTCATATTTCGAATATTCATCGTTGAAATTTATTCCTATTTCTCCTTAATTTTAGTTAGTTAGAAACCAGCGTTCTAATTAATCCTAATTATTAAATAATTTCAGACTAGCGCTCAAGATTCAATTTAATAATAGTTTTACACAATAGAGAAATCGATGAATTAGATAACACAAACACCAGCGGTTGCATTCAGTCTATTTAAATATACTTCTTAAAATTCAATAACCACTATCGTAGAAAATCATCAAATCCCAGTGTTTCACAAGTTAAAGGAATCAAACAATTACAGATTTGATATTTAACTTAACGGTAGATTGTAACGAATAACAAACTAATATACCTCCTAGCAATTAAACATAACAATCATGAAAATAAGTGCAGAAGAATATTCAATACGTAAAATAAGAATTAAACAATAAGAAAAACTATTTAGATCTCACAATTTGTGGTTCCGATGCTTCAATTTCTTTCGACCAAGTGTAATAATTTAGTTATAATTCATGAATCTAAGAGAGAAAATAATGAAGAATGGAGTTTGGGGGCGTTCTCTACGTTCTGGTTCTGTTCTAGGGTTTTAAAATATGTATTTATAGTTGTTTCCATAGGTAATTGACTTAAATTCAGAAACCAGAATTTTCGTGTCGGAAATGAATTATGCGGCCGCATGGTTTAGAGGCTTGTGGTCGCATGGAACAAATGAACTCAGCCCTCAAACTTTCGAAAATGGTCTGTGCGGCGGCATGGAATTAAAGGCTTGCGGCCACATGGTTTTACGAAACTTCCTCCGGATAGCATTTAGTATTTTGGTGATATCTTTTTCTCTCGATATTCGATTGAGGCCGATTCAAGATGTGTTGAAAAGATAACTTAAAGGACTAAAACTTTGATTCAGATATCACCTTCCAATTCGATCGTTTGCCACGTAAAAAATGGGACTCAATATGAGACTAAAAATCAGTGTATAACTTTTAGATTGTGGCTACAACGTTTCTTCAGATATAATCTTCTAATTTGATCGTTTTTAATGTCAAACATGGGTCTAAATATGAGGCTGAAAATTGGTGCATAACTTTTTCGATTGGAAATTGATGTGTGATCATATTTTGATGATATTTCATCCCTTGACATCTTCTTTCAACAAATTGACTCTCAAATTGTCATCTTTTGATTTGACACAACTTTTATGTATTTGTACGCTAGTCCTTGAACTTTCATTTGCTTTCACTTTGGTCCATTTTCACCTATTTCTTCCAAATTACGACATATCCATAGAATTTCCATCTAAATCAAAATATGAACGTAATGAGTACATTTTGGCACAAAATAAACATATGAGCGCTTAAAATAAAGAGGGAAAAATATGCAATTTACATTCCTGTCAGAAAGTAAGAAAAGACATCTTCAATGATCCATATGAAGAAGAAGATGATGACGGTGACATGCTTATAGGATATGTCTTCTCCATTGGTGGCAGTCACAAAGGGTGGCATGGGTGACATGACCCCTAACTTTTTGGACAATTTTTCTTCTTTTTAAGTCATTATGGGATGCCAAATGAAGTTGAAATATTGTATTATTATTATTATCATTTCAAAGTGCTTACGGCTTTCTTTTTTACGTCATTAACGGCGCGCGAAATGGCCAGTCGTAACAAATATTACAGTTCGTCAAAATATATCATTCCAAACTAGTATTTTGATAATTTTAATAACATGGTAACTTAAAAAAATCTCCAACAATCGAATGTTAGCTGAAAAAGTCATATCCCATATAAAATTTCTCACAATTCTTTTTCAAAGTTTAATTGTTCTCTTTAACTCAAAACTTATGCGTCAGCCAATGTTTGCCATGCAAAATTATAAAAGAATTGAAGATCAAATAATTCTGGATGGGCAACGTAATATACTTATGGAGGATATCTTCATTAGCCAACCCGAAGAATCAACAACTAAATAAGAAGAACATATCAAAACTGAGGGATTAATCACAATGGAGTCAAACGAATTAGTGGCATTCAAAGAAGATGAAATTAGCATGCAGCCTTCAACTTCATTAATTTTGTGATTAAAGTCAATGAGGCTGTTGAAGTATTTTTAATAAATTTTGAATCGGATAATTTAGGCAAGTTATATCATATATAAGAAGGAACAATAAAATTTTGGAAGATGGATGCAAAACCTATCTTTTCAAGCTAAGCAAAACCTTCAAAGCAATATTCAAAGTGTCATGAAAAATCTTTGCCCAAAGTCGAGTTTGATATTCTAAATCAACTTTTTATTATTTATTGTATATAGGATTCAGTATTGCATTTTAAACATAGACATACTTTCTAATTATTCCCTTAAAAAAAAAAAAAAATCTGTGTAGACCGCAAACCACGCCCGTATGAGGCCCCGTTTGCCTGGAGCCAGCAACAGGTTTCCAATCCGCGTACAACTACATATTACAAGGGTTATTAGTCATATCCTTTTTCCTATATATATACTATGCTTGTATTTCAAATAAGTATTTGATACAGACACATTGAAATCCCAATTAATTTCAAAAATCTGCTTCTGAAGCAAAAACAATTAATTGTTCAAACTAAAAAGACTTTAAAATAAACTGCATCAAATCCTTAGAACAAACATGTGACTCAGAACAACTTTACAAGAAAATCAGACAAAATTCATACTACAACTAAATTCATCGCAGCATGAATAATCGATTCAGCACTAAACAACATTATGTCCAAATGAAAACTCAGTTGACTCAATGTCGTCGTAGGAAATCATTTCGTCAATCCAATTTGAAATATCTTCATTGGACATATCCGACGACGTGCCATGGCAACTCGTAGCAGCTCCTGAGTTCAGCTCCTTATCGTCTAAATCTTTTTCTATGCAGACCCTCTTTTCAGTCGGCCATTCAAAACTTGATTTTCGTTTTTGAGATTCATCAGTGTCTTCTACTTTTCCAAAACCAGATTGAACCACAAGATCAGTCTCTTCTTGATCCAAAGAAATTCGACAAATTGCATAATCCGTGTTATTCAATCCCTCAAAAGAATTTCCCGCCAATGTATATTCGTGCATTATCCAACGACCCTTGTTCATATTTATCTCGTCTTGCTTCAAATCGCCATTTATTTTGAATGTAAATGACTTCTTAACACCAATGACTTCGCCCTTGCAATTCTTGATATCCTTCGGCATAGATTTTCCGGCCCATGTTCCACAACCGGCCGCCCTAACAATATGCCTTCTACCTATCTTTTCCAACTTCGTAAACACGTAAATTTCCTTCTTCGTATCACAAACTTCAGACTCCCCAACAATTTCCCATGGATCATTGTCGGAAAAAACAATCCATGGGGTACCATTCTTCCCGTATAGATTTCGATCAAGAATTCTATTGCATGGCAATGGGAATCCCATTGCTTTGGGTTTTAAGTAAAGTGTGATAAGTTTTTGATCAGTGGGTTTGAAAACGAAACCTGGTGGTATTGAGAATGCCATACCCGAGCGTTTAAGGAGAGTTGATCAAACTTGAAATTCCCAGAAGGGATTCGAACTTTGTACGTGAGAGAGTGTGTATTTCTCTGGGATCACAAAAAGACTTTGCAAAGTGAAGAAGAAAAGTAGTTTTTGAGACTGTCAGAGCACAAGATTTCTTCAACAAATACATATATTTATGGAAGGCATAATCGCAGTTATCTTATGGATATTGGTTCAACCACCTTTATCCTTTTCATTGTAAGGATAACAATATTATTTCTTGAAGTGTGTCAACAAAAGCACCGTCCGATCTGTTTTCGAACAGCTAATTATTTTATGAATGGATGACATGTAGTCAAACTTCTAGAATATGAACCATATTGTGTTGCTAATCCGGAATTCTAATCAAACTAGTTTAAACTACAACTCAGCTTTAAATCCTGCTTTAGCTATGATATCCAGACTTCTATTCTTATTTAATTATATACAAATTGAGCGAATATCTACTTAATTTGTGTTAATTGTAAGAAAAGTCCCAATATTCGATAGAATTGGTGTGAAAAAGGCAATTTGGAGCTTAATTGAAATTGTTTCGAAGCAACTGGAAATTATTCAGATTGCAAGTGATCAATTGAAAGTATTAATGGAGCATTTGGTAAAAATTCATAAGTTTTGAAAGTTAAATTTGACATTTGAAAAGTTTGGGAATTAAATTGCAAACTCTAGAAACTTGGATTAGGTCAATTATTAATAATTTTGAAGTGAAGAAGACTTAATGACAATTATTAGAAGATGAAGGACTAAAGTTACAAGAGAAAATGAGTTTAATTGAAAAAGGAAATTTCTTTTTTCTTCTCAAACTCTTTGATGTAAATCAAGTTGAACAAATGATTTTGTCTAAATCTTATTCTATAAAATGGAAATTACACTAGACTAGACTTTTCAAGATCATAGTTAAAAAATCAAATAATAAGTTTATTTAATCATAAATCAAGTGTTAATTTCACTATTAATATTAATAATAATAATAATAATAATAATAATAATAATAATAATAATAATAATAATCGTCATCATCTCATCCCAATCCAATTTAATCTCAAACCCTAAAATTCATTTCTCTTCTCACTCTCTACACCTAACCAATGATAGCTCAATGATAACTAATCAAGAGAGGGGTGAATTGGCTTTAATTTTTTTTTTATCGAAAAATCAATTTAAATTTTAGCAAGTAAAGATTAAATTGATCAAGTCAAATAATAAGCACAAATATGAAAGAAATAAGTAAAAGGGAGAGATGATGCAAACGATGTAATTGTGCTAAAGCAATGATCTCCATCCTTCGTTATCAAGCTCTTTGGCACGAGAAGACCTTTTCACAATATTAATTAACTTATGGTGCAACTAACTGTTGACACAAAAAATGTACGGTCCAATTCAAATAGCCCAAGAAAGGAAATGACCCAAGAGAAGAAGCTCATTTAGAGAAATCAGGGTGAAAGCCCAACCAGAAATATCATTAAATATGATGAAAGCCCAAAAATAAAGGAGCTTTATCGTCCAAGCCTGCAAAACGCCCAGACGTTGAACGAATGAAGTATCCTATAATCGCCCAGACGGAAGACCAATTGTCGTCCAAAAATGCTGAGTCGCCCAGAGTCCCCGCAATGACCAAAACTTGTTGTTATCCAAAATCACGATCTAAGGTAGTTTGAGCACATCACAATTACGTCCCACGATTTGAGAGAGTTGGTGACAAACAGTTATGAAGAGGACGTGGTGATAGGAGTTACACATGGTAGTTATTAGCCAGTCGACCATTATGAAAGAAATGGATAGTTACGAGTAGTTTCTAAATGATTAAAACTGCCCAAGCCGTATAAAAGAAGAGGAAGACAACGAAGATTAGCCCGACAAAATTCACTCTCAAATAGAGAATATGTAATTTACTTTTTCTTAGATTAACTTTAATTATTTCAATTCCCTTGTACTTGTGTGCTTGCGTCCCTTGGAGGCATCTTATTCGCGCCCAAACTGTAATCTTCATATTCAATAAACACCCCTTTTTGGGACTTTGTTCCAAGAGATTTGTCCCTTACACAATCTTCTGATCCCTTTTTAATTGTTAGCGAGTAAACGCGCAAAACACTAACCATTTATGACACTTCTACGACATATGAACAAGGAGCAATAATCCTCATACAATGTTAAGTTTTACGGGACCTCAACACGACCCACTATTGAGTTTTAACGGGATCTTAATATCGCCCACACGATGACTTACAACAAGGAGCACCAATCCTTATACAATATTATTTTTTTATGAGACTTCAATACGACCCACACTTTATCAATGTGATTTTACAATGAAATTTCTATCTTGATAAATAATACAAATAAGTTAAGTACTAAGAGAGACTAATGTTTCAATGAATAGAAATAAATAATAGCTCAAGTATTTGATGAAAAACATTGTTATATATAATAATTAGAAATTTGATTCAATCAATCAAATTTTTTCAATGAGAAGATGAAAAAGAAATAAATGCAATATAAGTTCAAAAATCTTCTCAAAATATATATCTCTTTTAATGAATGATTGAATTAAATTAAGTACAAAGAAAGAGATAAGAAACTTTGATGAATATGATGATTTTGCAAGTTTGATTCAATCAATTAAAGTTTTCAATATGAAATAGTAGAAGAAATATATGCAATGTAAGTTCAAAATTTTTTTTCAAAATATGTTTCTCTTTTATAAGTAATAGAAATAAGTTAAGTACGAAAAGAGAGATGAAAATTTTTGATGAAAATGATGATTAAAGAGTTTGAATCAATCAAAATTTTTTATATGAAGAAATAAATTAAATGAATGCAAATGTAAACTTAAAGAAATCTCTCAAAAGATATCTAACTTTGATACTCTTGAAAAATGTTGTATTGAATGTAAGAAATAGAGGTATTTATAGAGTTCAAAATGACAAAAAAAATTTGGAAGTTCGGATGACTAGTCCGGTCGACTGCCTCTTATCCGGATGAACAATACAATCGTTTGTATAGTAAAGATCAGATATCAGAACGATCAAATTTTGGACCGTTGGGAACTTCCGATCGACTGCCTCTCCCGGTCAACTGCCCGACAATTTTAGTTTTTTTACGTTTTGGCCTCGTTTGATTTGATTCGAAGGTTTTGAAGAGTACAGACTTTTGGAAAGTATTTTTAACTAACTTTTCAAGATAAAAGATATTTCTCAAGTTCAAATATCATTTTAAAAGTCATATTTATATTTGATCAAAATATTGAATTGTAATGACTTTTAATGCACAAAATTGTTTTTAATGTATAGAATGATTTTTAAGTTTAAGCATTCATTGCTATACATCAAAGTGTTAGTGTAACGCTCTGAAATCCTTATATTTATAACTTCTATAATCTCTCTCCTTTTTTTAAAAAAATAAAATGGATTTGAGGTGTTACCAAAAATTTCTTTATTTAATTTAAACGGATTTGAATTGTGATAGATAATTCGATGATAACAAAAAAATACAATTCAAGTAAATTTTTTTTCATAACTACCCAACAATATAAATTTAACAAAAATGTCAAATGCTCGAACACAAAAATAGAACTGTTAAATCACTTGCATAAAATTTAACATAATGATTTTTTTCAAATATAAATTTGAAATTTATCATTTCTTAATTTATTTACTTGACGACCACATAAGCGTTACTCGATCAATCTTCCACGCGTCCACACGACCCGTTCGAACCTGAAAAGTTGTTGTAAGAGTGTGTATTTTGAAAACACTCAGTAAGAATACGTGCATATTCTTATTAACGTGATATAAATATAAAAATTAACATAACATACCAACATTCTTAGACTTAGAGCAATCTGGTCAAGATATCCAATAGTTCAACGAATTTCTTAAGAATTCTCATATCCCATAGGATTTAATATATTGACCTAACAGTCCATCCCGAATGATTTAACAAAGATATTGATAAGTGTGTTTTTGCACACTTATTTAATACTTAAATATACTTACGATTGATAAAAATAGGCGAATTTCTACTCACAATTATGTAATTATTGCGTTTGTAGGTAGAAATCACCAAAAGGAAAGAGAACAAGACAAAAGGAGAAAAATAGACTAAAAGTGTACAAGATTGTGAAGTTGGGGACCAAGTTGCACAATTGTCGAAAGTTGGAGGACATTAAAATGCAATTTATGGAGGGCAATATTGAAATGAAAATCAAAATTCGATGACCAAATTGTATAACATCACAGTTGAGGGACTAACTATGCAAATTATCCCGAGTACCTCCCCTGCAATTTGTAATTTCACCAAAAGTGCGCACCCGCGCACCTGTGCGTAAAAAAATTTTGAGGGCATTTTGGGCTTTTGGTTGTACTCAATTTTGGGAGTATTTAAGGACCAAATCTCATGACTCAAACCCTAGTTCTAGTTTGTAGAGTTTTGCATTTTCCTCTCTAACTCATCTTCTTTGGTTTCTGTCTTTTCTTTTTCTTTCATTTTCTTTTCTTTTCTTTCCTTTTTCTTTTCATTTTTACTTGGTATTTTGGAGATCAATCAAGAGCATAAAAGAAGATTACGTCAAAGGATTGGAGAAATATTTGGAAGAATTCAAAGCCAAGTTCAAAAAGTGATTTTATCTATACCTTTGTTTTTCTCAATTATTTTGACATATTTGTAATGTATTTGTATAAATATTCTCATTTTAATCATATGTATAAAATGGGTTAGTTGATTTTGTTGGGATTTATGGTAGTAGCTTGAACTAGCCTTGATTAATTTCTATATTTGCCATTTGATTTTAAGTTACTTATTTTCATGTATTTCTACTATTGTTTTCCATGCATTTTCATTTATGTGGCCAACAGATGATTGTATTTAGTGATTTATACATCGTT